GTATGTTGGTTAGACTTGTCGTTCCATTCGACAAAGGGTGGTTGGGCACAAAAACGCCTGCAAGGGCTGTTGGGTTCAAAATCGGAGCTGGCTGAGCACAGGGCAGAAACAGGACACGGGATTGAATGGTCTCAAGCTTTTCGTTTTGCTGATTATGGCATGTCTGCGGCTAAACGCAAAATGAGAGAAGCCATCGAACTAAACCGAACAGGGAATACATTGGATGTAAGGAATACCGGCAAGAAGATAAGTAAAAGTTACTTGTGCTTAATTAATATACGTAAGGATATATAGATTGTTGAGCCGCCTGCAAAAAAGGGGTGATTCAACTAGTCTTTTCTTGTCTTGGTTTTAATGATAGTCATTTCTATTTACTTTTAGCCAACTCTTTCTCTCGCATGAAGAGAACAAAAGCTCATCACTATAACTATTCATGTGTCTGACCTTACGCAATCGGAGTGATGGTCAAAACATCTATGTAGTAACGGGATGATGATGGTCAGTATACTTTGATGGCCGCGAATAGACGTTACTTTTTCTGTCCTAATTACTTTGAGCCATCACTGCTGGTTTCCTGCATAGGCGAATACACACATACAGAGACACACTCATGCTTCTAGATTGGCATGGATGGAACTAACCAAATCACTTTGTAACTCATCAAAGAGATCACACATGCAATATATATACAGCTTTTTATGGGTGCGCAGGTGAATTTTCTTTGCTTAGCTTGAATTTGGTAGCAAGGATGATACATTCTTCTGGTGATGTCCGTCAGACGACGGACGAAAGCTTAGTACGCTTTCACCGGAATCGAAGGAGATTACCTTGGAAGCAGTATCAACATGTGTGTTCCAGCAAAGCCAATCAACAGCTGATCAAGAGAAATCCGCCCTCGTTTTCTGGTGGAATCGACCTTCGAATTTCACCAAACCTTTTCACTCGAAATGAAAGTAAGCTTGTTATCCTTTTAAGAAGGACGTGGACTGCTTGCTCTCTACAACTCCAAAGATGGAGGTTCCGAAGCGAAGAGAAAAAAGAAACAAATAGTATTACCAATTGTCCTATTTTGAAACGTCCGAAAACAATATGGGCGAGCTGACAATAGAAAGACAATTATTAAAAGCTGGCGCCAAATAAAACATTTTAAACTCCGCGGGCCACAGCGAAGCGGAGAAAGAGGAGGAAAAGAACGTGACCGATCTAAACAGAATGTAGCTCCTTGCGTAGTTTTCCGTGTCAACTTCTGTGCTATGCCAAGCTTTGGTTGGGCGACGCGAAATAAAGAGTCAATATTAGATACGAACTTATGTGATCTCTGCGCCAAAGGATGCTTAGCCATGGCTATTTATGGAATGCAACAAAAACTAAATATTGAATGGGTAAAGTGTTGTGATTGGTCACTTCAATATTCCCCCCAAGAGACTACTGTCAGGGTAGGCTCAAAACGAATAAAAATGTGACCATGAAGATGCCAAAAGATTGATGGACGAATGACGAAAATAGGGCGCAAGCTAACCAAAATAGCCTGTTGGACTTTGTGCTTTTAAACATGGAAACGCCAAAAGATAAGACGCTGCGAAGGCTCAAAGCTTTTAGTCGGCTCTGCGTTAAGGTTGTGCTGCATCTGCAGAGCAACGGTTGTCCGATGGATGCGACTAATGAAATTGCGTTGGACATAGGCGCTAGCTGAGCGCAGTCTTGCCTAACGGAGGGCTGACCGAACCTGCATCTTTGCGAATGCAGAAAAAGGATGGAGTGGCGTACGAGATTGCGGCGTATTTACACCAAGGTGCGTGAAGATGAACGCATTTGACATCCAGGAGGCTAGCAGCTAAGTCGGGCTCACCATTGTTGTGTTCCTAAGAAGGACGTGGACTGTCTCTAAAATATAAATCGCTTGTTCTCTACCACCCCAAAGATGGAGGCCCCGAAGCGAAGAGAGAAAAGGAAAAATCGGCCCAATACAGTATGGGGGAGCTGACCATAGAAATACAATCATTGAAAGCTGGCGCCAAATAGGACATTCTAAACCCAGCAGGCCACGGCGGAGCGGAGGAGAATAAGAAAAAGAATGTGACCAATTTAAACATAATGCTAGCTATTTTATATAACCTTGCGTAGTTTTCCGTTTCAACTTCTGATTTGACGATGCGGTGCCAAGCTTTGTTTGGGAGACGCGAAATAAAAAGTAAAGGTTAGTCATGCTCTCACGTGATCTCTGTGCCAAGGGATGTTAAGCCATGGCTACGTATGGGATGTAACAAAACTAAACATTGAATGGGAAAAGTGTGATGGTAGGTGACTAAAAGCTCAACAATTATGGAACGAGAGATTCCTCGAAACCAATCTCATATTTGTTCAGAGATGGACAAGCCTGAACTTTCCCCGGTTATGACTTCTTTTAGAGAGAAATATGACTCAGCATGAAAATCTTGCTGTTGCAAGATTGTGTGCTCCCTTGGTCGACCTATGTTGCTGAGACTCATCTGCCTATTCGTCAAAGATTAGTGCTGCACCAGAGCCCTTGTAAAGGCGGCTAAGTCAAAAATAGCTTAGCACAGCACAGAGACTTGTCATGAGATAAAATGGTCTCAGATGCAAATGTGTGCCTATTATTGTATCTCTTCTACGAAACGCAAGAGAAGGTATTGAAATTAATAGATTAGGGGAGGAATGGCGCTAGAATGTTGAGTTTGAATTTCTTATACTTGAGTGAAAGATTGAATGGAGGGGCAGTGTTGGGCTCGGGCATGCTTTTTACTTTGATCATTAAGCCTTGATGAGCCGGGATTGATGTTATACTTTTTTCTACTTACTCTGCGTTATTGCTAGTCTTACGTACACACGTTATCACACACACACACACACATTCTTGAATGACATAAAATTAGCCAAACCTTTCTATATTCATCTATGACTTTTTCAAAGTTGATTTACAGCTCGGAATATGTTAGTCATTCCGAACGAATTCTCCGCCTATTTTCACCTTCAAAACGAATGAATATGTCTAGTGGATTGTCAGGCTGAACACCTTATTAAAGCAAAACGTCTGCAATAAAACGGGAATTAGCCCTTGTCTTCTGATGAGATCGACTTGCAAATCTCTTCATCATGTACGAAATGATAGTCTCCACAACCTTAATATATATATATTATTTTTGTGTAAGAATTTTAGTTAAGGACAATAAACATCTAATTTTTTTTCTTTATAAACCTTTCAGTCATGAAATGTAAAATGTTTTGGTAAGGGTAGGTTTTGGAACTCTCAGTATTGATGTATTTGTTCTATATGGATTCTTAGTAGAACTTCCTTACCTTGTAGCAAGTAGATCTCATAATGCTATTAAATTTCACGTTTTCTTGCACTAGGAGGTTTTCTGAAACAAATTTGATTGCAGTATTTGCATAGACTTTGCCTTGTCCTTATTCTCAATGGGCCGGGCGCGTAAAATGGCAACACAATTACTGAGGCCAATACTGATTATCAATCAGGCGGAATTTATATTTATGCTAGAGTACCTTTAAAGACATTACCTTTCTTACATCCCTTTTTTAGTCAATTATCTTTTGTTTCTTGTTTTGACGATGTCCGTCACATGACGGACGAAACCTCAGCAACGATTAATTGGGGTTGCAGGGCGGTACGCCAAGAGCTTATTCGCACAGATTTACAGTCAGCTCTAAGGCATTCACCCTACAGCTTTCGGTGCGGCCAGCTTATTAATTCCTTTCTTGCTTTTCTTAATACGATCTGAAAGCTACTCCAATATCATTCTAGTAAGGGATTCTTCGAAAACCAGTTCTACATAATTTATGTTTTTCCAAGCCTTCATCCTCTTGATTTTTCAAGAATAAGAATTTTAGTAGCGTCGTTCATTCTAATTAACTAGTTCAGCAAGACTTTTACCCTTGCATCTCTCGCTGACATTTGTAAAAACTAGGGATATTTGTGAGGTCAATTCTAGCAATAATTAACTTAGGGCGTATAAAGTTGATTCTGGCATAGCATTAATTATTTGCCTGACTGTTTTATTGACAAATTTGTCGGGTTAACACTGCTTTAGAAATGTGATATAGGATAGGTCTGAATAGCCTTGGAATTCCCATCTTCCCTGTAACTTGCTGTCATGCAAGAATGTGTGTTGTATAGGTAAAATATCGCCACAACGCTCCCTAACTAAGTTTGATCTCCGTTAGGGTTGTTGATCAGACCAAAAATGGGTCACGACTGTACTCCATCTCTGATAATTTCTTTTTAGAGCCAGGGATAATTTTACTTCATTTCACTTCGTAGGACCTAATCATGTCATTCAGCTAAATTCAACAATTTTTCTTCCATCTTATAGTGACTTGTCCCAATATTTTTCTCAAACTCGTTACGGGACGTGGTTTATCGTGATTCATGCACTATGACTTGAACCATAGAGTATTTCTAGTGTTGGTTCGCCCTTGTTTTTGCAACTTGGTCTAAGCGTCAGAGAGACATTACAACTTATGAAAGCTGTAACTCTGTGTATACGATGACTCATCTCACTAACGATGCCGTCTACGATGCAGGCGAAGCGTTTGGGAATGTACTCAGCCAAACGTCCAATGCTGGAAATTATTAATACTATGGTAGGGAATACGAGAGTAGGTACGTTCCACATTGTCTTCCTGACGCTCGGATCAAGTTGCGAAAACAAGGTCGAACCAAAGCTCTAAAGCTAAAGAAAACTACGACTGAACAGAAGACCCTTGGTCTTCATACCTACAATGGAGTATTTCTTTCAAATCTGTCTGGCTGATCACGCCGTGCCAGGCAATCACCCAGGAAATTTGCCGGCTCAATTGTCATAATGAAGACCTTTGGGCTGTACTTCAGATGAATATCGGGGTTTCTCCAGAGCCCTATCTTCTTTGCGCTTGCCTGTTTTCCCTCATTGGTTCTAACATTGCTTGCTTCTGTGTTAATAGTTTGCCTCATGTCCCAACACTTAGCTTATCTACTGTTCGATATGGACTTCATTTGTATCTTTGACAACTTGCAACTTGGTTCTAAGGTTGGTAAGAGTCACTTACTATGCCTAAAAGACGCCTGTGAATGTTGCTTATCCACTCTAGCTTATTACAACCATTATAGAAAGCAAACTCTGGACAAGGAGTACTAACTAGTTAACTTTGAAAATACAACCAAGTAGCGTAAACTATACCAAACCACTTTAATAGCCCAGTAGTCTAAGATCTAGGTTAATACTTTTGAAAAGAGTAGTATGAATGCGACTGACAGCTAAGGACTTTCTGCGCTCCTTTCTTGAAAAAGGCCTTATTTTCAAGTTGAGTTTTATTTCGGCTTTCCAAGAGTATTTCTTATCAGTATAGCAGATTTTTCCTAGTTATGGCTCATTCAGCCTCGCAAGGCATTCCGAAACCGCATCTGTCATTCATTCGTGTGGCACTAGTGTCATTGAATCATTAGATGGTGCCCCTTATATGAATGAAGCCGATTACATTTCATTATTTCTAGTACTTCTGATAGAAGCGGTACATGCTCCTCTTCGGCACAATTTTTAATGCGAAAGTCGAAAGAATTAGTTACCCCGATAAATTCTTTAGAACCCTTTTTCAAATCTATATTTTGCCAATTACTTGTGCTTCATTAGGTTTCGTGGGAATCAGGACGTTTCTTATCTGCTAAATTCTACAATCTGATTAAAAATCAAAATATATCGAATAAGTCCCTGCAGCAATGCCATAAATCTTAACTATACAAAGGCTGTGATGGCTTGACCGATCTTTTGGGACTTTGTTGGTGCGGCACGACTTCGCTTCCATACCTTCATTTATAGATGGCTCATTACCAGTTATTTAAAAGCACAAACGGTACGGTAAGAATACACTTACTCAAAAAAGAAAAATTATTTATTAATTTATGTGATCCTGAGGCCGCCATTCTTGCTGTGATCAGAGTGCGATGTACTCGTGCTCAGTCATTTCTAAGTTGTGCTGAAAAATGCGTGACCTTAAGGAATGTTTTGGGCTCTATATATGCAGCTATTTTCTGTCCGAAGTTGAATGATACATTTCCTGCCCATCCAATAAAAGTGGGAATACGATTCATTTTATGCAAGACTGCTTGAAGCTCTATCGTTTGTGCGAAAACAGCCCAATAGTTTACAGTCCTTTACATTACGGTAGCATTCCCATTCCTGAATCCAAGCAATATAACACACTAATACTGATGCGAGGTCGAAACTGCAGTCCACCCTGGATGAGAACAACTTTTTGGAAAGCCAGGCTATGTGAAATTCAATTGAAACGTCAGCTCTACTCATATAATTGTGGAAAAATTATACTACCAGTCCTTCATCACCTTAAACGAAATTGGGTGGATACATCTCATGACACATTAAGCTGAACACATATGCAAATAACTCTGCCTAATGGTATAGCTTATTCATCTAGAAAATGGTTATATTCGTTGGTGATTTCCATTCTCTACACGATATAACTTCATATTAATTCAGGAAATTAAATCATATCTGAAGGAGCTTTAATTTTTACTAGAACTTTGCATTGCAATGGATAGCCTTATGAATTCCATACAATTAACGCCTAGTTCGCTGCTAGAATAAAACATTTTTAGAACTGAATTGGACTACTTTCTCTTAATATGCATATTCCTAGTTTAGAAACAAAAGGCAAATAAAACATTCTGCTGCTATCCATCAAACTTAATACAAGCAGATACCCAACAAAAATGATGAGTCTATGTTTAGTATAGATGTAAATTGCAAATACTCCTTCGTTGTTTTCATGCCCTTCACATGATCAGAGGATGAGATATGAAGCTAATCATATCACTATATATATATCATCAAAGAGGTCAGATATAGAGTATATATATATATATAGCTTTTTAGGGATGCGTGTGTGAGTTTTCTTAATTCTTTAGTTTGAATATGGTTATAAGGGTGATACTCTGTTCAGATGATGCCCATCGTATGACGGATGTGAACTCAGCACGTTTTCACCGAAATCGAAAGAGACTGATTCGGAAAGAGCATCAGCTAGAAGGTTCCAGTAATGCCAATCGACAGCTGGTCAAGAGGAATCCATTGTCGTCTTCTGGTGGGATCGATCTTCACATCTCTTCGCAAACACTTTCACTCGAAATGCAAATAAGCTCAACAAATAGGGAAAATAACAGAATTAATTATAAGACTGCAGCCACTATAGGTTTCATATCTAAACGGTCGTAAAATTTTCTTAAAACTTTTACGTAATAAAGCTTTAATTTTTTTTAAATATAATTAAAATTATATCAGATATTTTTTACAACTTTTTGTTTGAATTTACATCAGCAATTTGTTCTTTCCTCCTCTATGTCTGACTTGGTCTGCATTTTTTTATTTCATTGCTATTAGATTGACTCTACTAGTTTTTTTCTTCGTTTGAGGGGTGTACCATTTGAGTGCAAAGAGGATGATGTTCTTAAGTTCCTTCATGGTAATCTAGATTTGTTTTCACCTAAAAGATGTCAAATGTGACAAGGTTGAGTTCAAGTTTCGTAGGGATGGGAAACTCTCTGGCGACGTATATGTAAGAGTAAAAAACAAGGGAGAGTTCGATAAAGCAATGAAACATGACAAAGAGCATATGGGGCACCGTTACATAGAGAGTAAGTTCAGTCACTCCAATGCTTCTTAGTATTCGAGGCATCTGAAGATGAGGCTAAGCGGAATGCTGGCTACCAAGTCAAAAGCGATGGGACAGTGAGATTACGTGGTCTTCCTTATGATGTCAAAAAAAGTGACATTATTGATTTCTTTTGGGGTATGTCAATTCTTCATTCTATTACTATCTGTTCATTAAAAAAGCTAATTTGTTTGGGCATATTTTCCATATAATTTAGATCCTTTTTTCTTCATTTGTGTTATTTCTTGGAAATTGTGAATCTGACCTCTTCGGGGATGCGCATGAAATGGGATGTTCAGGCCTCGAAATTGTACCTGACGGTATTGGGTTGTTGGTGGACCACAATGGGGAGCCGAATGGGGTCGCTTTTGTGCAATTTGCTTCACTTGAAGATGCAGAACGGGCGCTCGCAAAGAGTGGAGAAAGAATCGGGAACAGGTGGGCTTGAGTCATCATTTTCAGTCGTTTTGGAAGCCACTCGCTCATATTTTGACAGGCTACTTCTGAATGTAGTCTTTCAGTTGATAACTTGGATTTTGCTCGGCTAGTCAACAATGTATTGTCTCCGTTGACTGGGTTGATTATTAGCGCATTATTCTTTTAATCCACTTTAATATTGTTAATCTTCTTCGCTCTCATTACTAAAACATTCGTTTCCCATACTTTTAGGTATATCGAGGTATTCCCCAGCAGCCTAACTGAGGCGAATCAAACTATCAAAGGTCAGCTCAGTGAAAATTACTCCCGTGAGTTTAATTTGATTTAAATTTATTTTTTATTGGAAAATCTTTATTAGGCGCCCCATTACGCGGAAAGTCTCGTGAACAATCAAGGAATCAGAACTATCCTCCTCCTGGTATTGCATGTGCCGCTCTGGATTGGAGTCGCGATGGTTCCCGATACAGAAACAGGAGTAGGGATCGTAGCTGGGATCGGAGTCGAGACAGAGATTGTTTCTACGTTGATAGACGCGGAGGACAAGCTGGCTACGGAGGCTATGGTGGCAACTTTTACAATGGTAAATTTGCTTGCTTTAGTTTTATTTTCCATACTTTTGTTCGTCACATAAATTTTGTGTAGGTTGTTCACAATTCAATGGGAATTACCGTTCAAGACAGGATGACTATGGATACGGATATGGATATGGCGGAGCCCGAGTCACACGTGTAAGCCTCATTTTTTCAATTTTGTCTACCAAATCCTAGTCCCTCTATTTTCGCTTATAATTGCTTGTATTTGGTCCTTTCGCGGCTCACTAACATTCCGTAAAAGCTCCCCATATTTATTTAAAATCGACCTTACTATTTATCGTATCATAGCTGGCTCGCAGGCATCTCAAATATAAATATGCTAAATGAGGCTAGAGCGGTTGGTGTTGATACCACGCGGCCCTAAGTTACCATATGGTGATCCTAGGAATACCCGGTTGATGCGGCACCGGGCCTCCATCTATTGCAGTAAAGCAATGGGTAATGGGTCTCCCAAAATTTATTTCTTATCTATGGAAACTTATGAGATAAACATTGTTTTATTTCTTGCTATTAGGATGGTCCTTATGGTTATGCAGGAGTCAAAGCACTACGCACTACACGGCACACAGTGCGCATGCGGGGTCTTCCTTTTTCAGCAACTGAGTCTGATGTTATCGGCTTCTTCAGACCCGTTCAGGCCGTCGCTGCGCGTATTGAATATCAACGTCCTGGTCGACCATCTGGTTATGGGGAGGCCGACTTTACCTCCCATGATGAGGCCCTAGAGGCGATGAAACGTGACCGGGAGCAAATGGGTAATCGGTACATAGAACTTTTCCTCCATTCCGAAAGCAATTGAACCGCCTGCTGAGCTAAGACCCGGAGGTCTCTTTTGTTCCGTTTTATAAACCTCGGCCTGTTTTTCACCTTCCCGATGTATTTTTTACGTTGCTTACCAAGCATAAAATCCTGAATTCCCTGTATCAATACAGAACACTTGTTACGCTTGAATAATGGTTAATTCTAATGGACAAACAAAAGTTGAAGTGTATGGTGCATATAGGTTGTAATTTCTTTGCACTATTTGGTCCTTTGGCAAGCCTGAGGCGCTCTCCAGGCTCTCGTATTATTAGTTAGGCTCTCGTGCCATTGGTCTGGCACAAGATGAAAGTAAC